GGAGAGGCGCGACAGCCCTTGAGCAGTGACACATCCCGCGGGCTGCCGCTCCGTGTCCGGGTCGGGAGAGCTGCTCCGCCGACGCCTTTGGACCCTCGCTCCACAGTGTGGCCAAGCGGGGCAGGGATCACAGTGGAGACGGCCCCGTGAGTCGCTCAGGGAGGAAACAGTTGGGCCTGTTTAGCTTGGAGAAGAGAAGGTTGAGAGGGGATCTGATTAACATGTGTAAGAACCCGAAGGGGGAATGTAGGGAGGAAGGGGCCGAGCTCTTCTCAGTGGTGGCCAGTGACAGGACAAGGGGCAATGGGTGCAAGCTGCAACACAGGCAGCTCCATCTGCATGTGAGGAGGAACTTCTTCACTGTGAGGGTGCCAGAGCCCTGGCACAGGCTGCCCAGGGAGGCTGTGGAGTCTCCTTCTCTGGAGATCTTCCCAACCCGCCTGGATGCCGCCCTGTGCCCCGTGCTCCGGGTGTCCCTGCTGGAGCAGGGGGTTGGACTGGATGATCTCTAGAGGTCCCTTCCAACCTCAACCATCCTGTGATTCCGTGTGCCACTGCACACGAGCTGTTCCCAGGAAGTCAGAGCCTCCGAGGGGCCTCTCGGTCACAGGGCTACTGCGATGAGGCACTTGCAGCTTGCATGAGGGACGTAGGAGGGATGTGGACAATGGCCAGAATGAAAAGCGGGATCAAACCTCCGCAGACCCTGCTCAGATCAACCCAGATTCTGGAGTCACCAGCTTTGAAGGGGCTTGAAAGCAGCCAAATTCATTCTTTTCTCTTTAACGGGAAAGGAAAAAGTAATGGGAGGCAAAGGATGCTGTTGAAGCTGACATTTCAGCCAAGAGCTCGGAGCTTTTGAAGAGACACAAAGCTCCCCCAAATGAACGTGTGTAGTCTGAAGGGCTTGACCCAACCTGATACAAGGCCGGCCGTGTGGATTTCCCTTCATCTGCGGATTTGCGGTGAGGCAAGGGAGAGGAGAGCGCGCTCCTCGCTGTTACACGCAAACTCTTATTTTCCTGTGAATTCCTACTGCGAATACGGGGAGGGCGGCAGGGAGGAAAATGGCCCTCGGATCCCTGGTGCATCCCTGGAGTGGCTGCAGCCCCTTGGCAGATGAGCAGGACAACCTAAGGAGGAGGTGCGAACAAGGGAGCTACAGTCCCGGCCCCGAGGCCCTCTCTAGGAAATCAGGAATGTTTTAATTAACAGGGTTATTTATGGCAGCACTGAGGAGCCTTTTGAGCAGCGGCGGCGCGCTCGCTGCTGTGTGAGGAAGGAGAGATGGGAATGGGCGATGGCCAAGTGAAAGACAGGCAAGACACAAGGAAATCTTTGTTAAAGTTATACCATGGCTTGCAGCGGGACCAAGACAAATTGGTCTGTATTCCTCTAACACACCAGGTTTCTACTTGCCCTGGGCTTTAGCATTTGAAGCTACAATCATGAGAAATTCATTAAAAGGTGTCATTTATAAGGATAATTTTCCATATTTGCCCTTTGAAGTAGTGGTTCAGACCTTAGCACAGTGGAGTGAGTCTTGGCAAGAAAAAGGAGGGGAGGGAAGTGCTAAATGCAAGTGTCTGTGCTGCCACCCAAAACGAGGGAAGCGTTTCACAAGTTGGGACAAAAATGTATGTGAGATAGGAACAGAACGAAACCTCTTGCAGTTTTCTGCACTGAAACAAAACCTACCATGTAACATTTACAGCTAATTACAAAAGGAAGTGAAACCCCCCCAGAGATAGTGCTCTCACAAGGCCGACTTCCCAGGATTCAAAATGTAACACTAAATATTTGCACATATTTATCACTCTTCACCCACGCAAGATCTCGTCTTATTTTGCAAACACCAAACAGCTTCCGAGCAGCCCAAGCGTGGCCACGGCCAGTGCACAACATGCCGGCAGCACCTCCTCCGTGCCAGCACGGCACTGGGAAAGCTGCTAGCGAGGACAGGCTGCTGCTCCGTTGCCACCAAAGTGAGATTTTAAGCCTTGTGTGTTGCGCTGAAACTCAAGCAGCTTGCCAGGATCGTCAGTCTGTTCTGGAAAAGAGAGAAATATTGTGCATCCGTCAACGGCATCGCTCTTCCCACTAGCGTCAGAGCCTATCCCAGCGGAAGGCGCATTGCAGGGCACGTGTTAGGTGCTCCTTGCGTCTGAGGTGCTTGTGCCTTTTTGCCGGGGGTCATTTTGGTTTCCCTGCAGAGCAGGACCCTGCGTGGCGCGGAGGCAACGCGGTCCCTGGGGTGCAGAGCCTGCCTGGGCCAGCATCCTTCCCCATGGCAGGGGGACGCATTCCACGCACCGCATGGCCACCATAATCCCATCGCTCCAGAAAAAGGAGTAATTCAAACAAATGCCCCTTCTGGATTAAGGTTGCTGGCTCAAATGAAGGCCTCTTTTCTTAACAAGAGGGGAAAAAGGGAAACGTTGTTTCTTTTCTCCATTGTATGCAACCTCCCTAATTGTCTGACGCTGAAGGGAAAACAGGGGCTCCTTCGCTGCACTCTAACGGAGGAGCAATCAAACCCATTCAGGCCTGTGTTAATGATATACACTATACGCACAATTGACATTTACACTGCATATCAAAACTGATCAGAACATAAGGAAGTTTGGAGGAAAAAAAAAAAGCAGAGCCGATTGCCTTATGCTGTGAAGTTCGCCTTCGGTATGAGCCACCTCAGCTAATGGATTAGACGCGAGGCTCGCGCGCTGTGTTAACACGGGGTAACCTTTACCAGCGAGGGAGGAAACAGGCTGACCGCGGCTGTGCGTCTGGGAAAGGGGGCGGGTGAAAACGGCTGTGCGCTCAGGTTGTGCCTTCCGCAGCGCTCCCTCATCCGGGGATTCTGGCACCACCAAACACTGCCCCGGATTGGAAAGCGCCTCAACACTCATGACGACTTCAAGGGGCAAGTTTGGTTTCTGTCAAGCTTTTCCTCCTCCCCAGTCAGCATGTCCTAACCAGGGACATCAGTAAGATCCAACCCTTAGGTTTGGTTTGGTTAATTTGTTCCTTACTTTGGGCAGAAAGAGTGTTGCAATTAATCACTTTATTCCTAGAGATTTACCCCCCCTTTCCAATTTACTGAACGAACGTACACACTGAATTTCAGTGTGTGAAAGGACACACTGAATTTCAGTTAAAGGCAGCAAAACTGTTAATGGAGTATTAATGACATATTGTGTCTATACAAAGATGCAAGAATACGTTTTCAGTAGTTTTCAAGCCTGATTTTTTTTTCATAATGAATTAGCTGTGGGCAGGCCATGATTTTACACAAGTCTGCATTACTTGCAATTGCTTAACCCAGGGCTTTGGCAGTTCTCACGCCGCTTGCAAAGGGTCCTTGGCTGTGATCTGAACGGTTACTATTTGGAGCTGTTTTTTTACCAAGTTGATTTGCCACTTGATCCACATGGAATTAAATCTCCCTTTAGGGACTGGGAGAAGTAGCTGATGGCTGAAGCAACCGGCGCCTGGAGAACGGGAGAGGCTGTGGGGAAAAAGGAGGCGCTTGCCGCTATCACCATGTCGTGAGCGTTACAGACGGAAGCAAGCGTCCTGGCCAGCAGCCCAGTTTTTATGGGCCCTGCCGCGAAAGATTTCCTCTTGCAGGCCGAAAGCGGCCCGAAGCACAAGAGCAGAGGAGCCCTTATGCTGTGCGTGCTGTGCACAACTGTGCGGATGGGTGGCCTGCAGCTGCACAGGAGGGGTTTTCTTCTACGTTTCTTTTTGCCGCCCGGCACGGAGCGGCTGTCGCGGCGGCCTCGCGGGAGGCCGCCCGAGGACAGGACAGGACAGGGCCGCGCCGGGCGGCGGGAGCGGCAGTTGGGCGGCGCGCGCGGCTCCCTCAGCGCGGCGGCGAGGCGGTTGACCCGTTGCCGCGGCAACGCGCTCCCCCTCCCCGCCACCGCTCTGCCCCACGTGACGCCCGAGCCGGCGGTGAAAAGACCGCGGCCGGCAGCGGGGCAAGGGGGGTCGGGCGGCGCTTCCCATTGGCCGCCGCGGATTGGCACGTGGCGGCGGCCCGGGTCGGGGGCGCGCGCCCATTGGCCGGCGGCGGCGGTGAGGCCGTGGGGTGATGCGC